CCCCCACCCATCCCCTCTCACATAACAACCCCGTCATCACCCCTCTCCCTCAGCCTCACCACTGTTCAGACCTCCACCCCACCTAACATTCCTCACACTGAAGCCCCCTCAACACTCCACTCCTTCGACTTTACTACCATTGAGGTGGTCACCAAGGTCTTCTCTGAAGCCCGCCTCACCACCTGCCCCCTCGACCCTCTCCCCTCACAGCTCTTACGACCTCCCTCCTTCTCCATCCTACGCTCCCTCACCCACATCTTTAATCTCTCCCTCTCTTCCGGCGCATTCCCCTCCCTTCTGAAGCACGCGCACATCACTCCCATACTTAAAAAGCCCTCTCTGGACCCCACTGACCTGAACAACCTTAGACCCATCTCCCTGCTCCCATTTACATCCAAACTCCTCGAGCGCTTAGTCTACAATTGCCTAAGCTCCCACCTCAACGACAACAACCTCCTCGATCCCCTACAGTCTGGCTTCCATCCCCTACACTCCACCGAAACTGCCCTACTCAAACTCTCCAATGACCTGCTAACTGGCAAAGCTAATGGCCACTATTCAGTGCTCCTACTCCTTAACCTCTTCCCGGCTTTCGACACAGTCGACCACCCCCTCCTCCTCAACAAACAAACTCCCTTGGCCTCAGAGACTCCACTCTCTCCTGGCTCTCGTCCTACCTATCACAATGCTCCTTCAGCATAACCTATAACGCTACCACCTCTCCCTCACTCCCCCTCTCTGTTGGGGTCCTCAAGGCTCTGTCCTCAGGCCCCTTCTCTTCTCCATCTACACCTGCACTGATAATCAGTGCCCTGATTATCAGTGCAGATGCCTGCTTTGACGGGTGCCAGTTATCTGCAGTACTTTCCCCATGCTGTGACAGTGTGAGGAAAGTACTGCCGGTAACTACATAGTGGTTAGCTGTGATTGGACATAGCTGATCACGTGGCAAAAGGCCACAGTGATTGGCCTTTTACCATGTCATGTCATCAGCTATGTCCAAAGGATACAGTGTCAGTGACCACAGACAGCGTCGGGGTGCATGCTGCTGGGGGCGTGTGCTGAGAGGATGTCATATGAAGCCCTACTGGAACTGGACTACCGTGCTGTAGCCATCATTCGGCTATAGCGCGATTGTAAAGTGGTTAAAGGGGAATGTGTATTGGACCAAAATACATTTAGGTCATGTGAAGAAGGTGAGGGCATTTGATTGTTGGTGTTGGGAATTTCACGGTGTATGGTGAAATTGGTGCATGATTGAGAGTGGAGGAGTTCACAATCCTGTATACAGTTTCACTAAATTGAAGGACAGTAGTGGGGGAAAAAAGGACACTGACACAAGTATAAGGTGGACTGACAAAACTTATTTAGGGATTCATGAGATATATGGTTGATTTTATTTATCACATTTTTATTAATAATATATTAAGTTGATTCATTGCACAACGTAATTGATATGTGGCTGGTACTGATCAGCGCCATTTGTTTTAATACTACCTGTTCTATGGTGACAATGCTGCTTAGTATGGTTGTCACCCTAGCACAGGAAGCCTGTTAATGGCAGAATTACCAGGTGACAGTAAAGGAAAAAGTGGAATTTTGACTTACCTGTAAATTCCAAATCTTAGAGTACAGTAACGGACACAGGCAATGTATTCATAGACCATGGGTTATAGCCATGTACTTTCAAATAACTAGACACTGACAAGTTTTTGAGGACCCCCCTCCTTTCTGGGGCAAACTTATTCATACAGCATGGGACATCCTGATGCAATGAATACAAGGATGGGTAATAAACTAGGCAAATGGAACTGTGCCAACAGGCCCCAAAAACAACATGGGTAAAAGATCCTGCTTAAGAGTGCTGCTGTAAGAACCTTTCAGCCAAAAGCTGCATCCGGAGAAGATTGGACATTACCTGGTAAAACTTTGAAAAAGTATGAACAGAACACCAGAGTTGGACAACAGAGTCTTGGTGGCCAAGGAAACTCCAACAGATCTAGTTGAGTGGGCTTGCAACAGGGCAGAAAGGGGCATAGTATCTTGTGTTTTTGAGCATAGTATCTTGTAATCAAATTCTTTATCCACCTTGCAATGATAGACTTGAAGTAGGGAGCCCCTTTCAAGGTCCCAAAAAAAAGAACAAACAAGGATTCCATCTAAAGGAGCAGTAACTTTTAGGTACTGTACATTCAAATGGCTCTGACTATGTCCAGTCAATGTAGACAGACTTCCTTTGTATACTTAGGAGTAGGGCACAATAATGGCAGAACAATGTCCTCATTGACATAGAACTCTGAAACCACCTTTGGAAAAAAGAATGGTCAACTCTAGGGCATAATGCAAACCTTGACATTGTAAAGTATGAGAAAAGGGTCTCTACAGCTGCTAGTTCAGAGACATATGTCTGACAGACATGATGGCCACAGAAAAGCTACTGGCAGGAATCTCCAAGGGAATATCCCTAATGGGTTGAAGGGGGTGGTTTCTGCAGGCAGAGAGTACCAAACAGAGGTCACAAGGTGAAGCGTGGATGCTGCAAGAGTGCCTGATATGAGAAACACCTTGAATAAAGTTTGTAAAAGGGAATATAAAACTTGCCCTTTCTGGTTCTGGTTAACAAAAAAAAATAAAAAAAAAACAAAACACACCTCCCTACAAAAAACCTGGCAGACTCCATAGAGCATTTGGTCTTCTTCTGCCATCACTTTTCTATGTTTTCTATGATTTAGGAATATACACAACCAAATCCCCCCTATTATATTTATGGGACTTTTTAGGCAAATTTGAAAATGTATTAAAGATTACATAAATATTCTTTATTATGGTATATCTTAAAAGTGCGTAAAACATATACATTACAATGTTATCCATACATTTGTTACATAATAAACCTATTTCAAATAGTACAAAAGAGTTTTATATGTTAGCAGAACTCTAAGTACTGACGCATTTCGGAGACAGTAGCTCCATTCTTCAGGGACACAACTCTGTGTACAATACGGTATGAAAATTAATGAAATAAACAAAGATTAAAAATCTGTTGATAAAAAGCATATCAAATGCCATCACGTCAAAACAACCCTCAATAGAAGAGGCTCTCACATCAGACCCTTTAAACACATGAAAGTGGACACTGAGATAGTTTATGGATGAGAGAGGGAATGCAAAACAGAGAGCGAGGGTTGTATTTTCGATGATTGGAAACAATCCTCCTTGCAATTGTGTCCCAACCAGAAGAGGTCTATAATGACTAAGCTAGATTGAAGAAGAATGGCAGTGTCAGGGCTCCGGGTATGACCAGAGGTGTGTGGACTGACACAGGGAAACGCAGGCTTCAGGTATATAGTGTAAATAAGACAATTTATTAAGACTAAACAAACACAAACGCAGTGCAAGGTGAACATAACACAGTGCAAACAACCTAAACTCCAACAGATAACCATAATATACAAATCAAACGTAGTCGGGCAGGACGGGTTGGTAGCAAATGGGCAAACAGGGTAGCCAGGAGCGAGCGGAAGAGTGGTCAGGAATAGCCGAGGTCAGGACAGGCGGGAGTTCGTTCAGAGTCAGGATCAAAGGCAGAGTCAGGATCATGGCAGAAGCAGACAGGGATGCAGGTACAGGGGCTCATGGGAAACATACACCAAGGCACTGACTGCAGGTCTGGCCATTCCTTAAATACACCTCCTGCAATCAGCCTCAGGTGATGGCTGATTGCAGGAGTAGAGCTTCTGGTTGCTGAGAGCACCGCTGACCAGCCCTGGTACTGCAGCCCACACGGCAGATGAGTCCCACCATAATGGTGAGTCCATTCCTGACAGGCAGTATATAAGGAGGCTATTATTGGACCTCATTGTTTCAGTATCATTAGAGTGGAAAAAACACTTGGTGTTCGTTGACCAGTGTAAAAACCTCACATGTTTTTTTTCGATACTGAACAATACGGTCCTCCAAATGACCCCTTTTTGCACAAGAAGACAGTCCAATGTATTTAGTAAGAGGCATTGTGAGTTTTTTGAAGTACTGTAATTGTTTTCTCACAATTGTTTGGAAAATTAAGAAAAATATTTTTTTTTTCCACAAAAATGGCATATTTTCAAAGTTATTTCTCACACATGGCATAGGTCTATACTTTACTTGCAATTACACCCCAAAATACATTCTGCTACTCCTAAAAAAATGTGGAAAGAAAATGAAAAATATATATATGAATTTTTTTTTTTTTAAACAAAGATTGTCAAATAATTTATAAGAATTTTCTAAAACATGACGTGCATACCAAGAATTACACCCCATAATCCATTCTGCTACTCCATCTTGAGTTATGGTGATACCTACATGTTGTGAGACCTTTTTCACAGCCTGGCACATACAATGGACCCAACATCAAGCAGCACTGAAAGGCTTTCTGAGGCATAAATTACACAATACTAATTTCCTGACTACGTATCACATTTTTCGAAGGCCCTGGAGCACCAGGACAATAGAATTACCCACAAAATCGACCCCATTTTTGGAAAGCAAACATGTATATTCTATGGGGCATAATGAGTCTTTTGTGCATGTAATTTTTCCACAAGTAATTGGGAAAATGAGGAAAGAAAATGAAAACTTTTTTTTTTTAAACAAAGATTGTCAAAATTAAATAAGATATTTCTAACACATAGCATGTACATAATCAAGAATTACACTAATACATTCCACAGCCTGACCACTTTTACAGAGGCCCAACATCCAAGTAGCACCTTTCATCTAGGCATTCTAGAGGCATAAAATTACACATCTAATTTCCTGACTACCTGTCAGAGCTTCCAGGGTATGACCAGAGGTGTTTTTGTGTGAACTGACGCAGGGAAACGCATAGGCTTCAGATAAGTTTATAAACAAATATAATTTATTAAAGACTAACAATACAAACTAACGCAGTGCAATACTAAAACATAAACACAGTGCAAACGAACCAACCAAACCACCCAGATAACAGTACATTACAATGCAAGCGTCATCAGGCAGGCCGGGTCAATAACAATCGGGCAGGTAGGAACAGGAGGAGCAGGCAGAGAGTAGTCAGGGTCACGAGCGGGTACAGCAACTAACGGGCAGGTAGTACAGGGGGTCAGGCAGAGAATGGTCGGTGGTCACAAGCCAGGATAAAACAGGAGAAGTCAGCAGAGGTCCTGGATCAGGCAGGGTCAGCACGAATCAGACAGGGACAGGACAAAGGATGCATGGATATAAGATACAGGGCCCAGGAAAAAAAACACACACCAAGGCAGAGAAACTGCAGGTCTGGCCATCCCTTAAATACACCTGCATAATCAACTTCAGTGTTAGTGGCTTTTTTTTTTAGACAGGTTGAGTCTCTCTTGATTGCTGGGAGCACCGCTGGCCAGCCCTTGTACGGC